CCATTTTTGATTATTTTCATCAAAAACTAAAAAATTCATAACTCAGTCAAAATCCATCCAACCTACTTCAGAATGTCAGGAAATACTCTATTTTATCTGAAACATACTGTAAAGCTCAAAAAATGTTGACAAAACCAACAGAAAATATTTTGGTTTCTAGAAAGGTTTTGCAGAAACCTTCGGAACTAAGAGAATATTTTTTATTGATTTTAAGTACAGAATTAGGATGAGCGGATAAAATAGAGTATTTCCTGACATTCTGAAGTAGGTTGGATGGATTTTGACTGAGTTATGAATTTTTTAGTTTTTGATGAAAATAATCAAAAATGGGTTACTTCACCTATTATAGGTTTTCACCCGGTTGTTGCATTTTATTCTAAAAACTAACATTGCCACGAGATTCAGCATAGTCGATAACCTATGTTTGAATATACTTTTAAGATTCCCCTGGCTAAGGATCGTCTGATGGGTAGGTCTTCGGAGAACGGCTGCAGTTTCTGAACCGTGGCAGATGGAGATCTGGAACTTGTGCAGATGTAAAGAGAAGAAGTCGCGCTATATTTGAGACGTTTCTAAAGTATAGGTCGTTATGATTTTTTTTGATATGGGTATGCCTCAATTTTTCCTATGCGCGGTACACCATGGTAGACCGCTGGTATAATGTTTACAGGAAGCAATTGAAATTGCGGTCATGATCATACGACTGTTGTTGACGGCCAGAAGAAGTCAGCATAACATCATATAACGTTTGTTTATTTGTATTTCATTTCTTAATGATTATTAAGTCACCAATCTAGTCGCGAAGTGATCATCAACGCTTAGCGACATTAATCTTTTTCTATTGGTCAGTGTTTCCCACTTACCAAAAGGTGTGAACAAAAGTAGACTTTCTTGCACAAAAACTTTCAAGGATTGCTATTAAAATATATCTGTGGTGTTAGAATTTTCTGATTGAACTGTTTTGATCTCAGATTAAGGCTACTTTTATCTGTACTGTACAATCACTTTATCTTTCCCTAGTCTAATGATTATGAAAATGCTGCTGGATATACCTATTGTCAGGTAAATGTAAATTTAACTTCCATGTAAAAGAAATAATTGAAATGCATTGTCGAAATGATCCTTGTGGTATCATCTGTGTGAGTGTGACATATGCCATGCTTTTTCATGCCACTTATGCAGTTTTGTTCATCATGGTTATACCTTTGTTATCAGAAAAGTAAATATTGGCATCATATCTGTAGAACATGATTTAGATTGATTTTCTCTGATCTTTTTTAAGTCTATGGGGTTCTTTGAATGCATTACTATTTACAATAATTGTATCACTATCATTAATATCTCACGCAAGAGCATCTTACTTTGATCCTGGTTTGTAGTTTGTTCATTCATTTCTTTGCGTTATTATATAAGCCATTTGTCTTTTAACAAGGATTGGTTCCATTACCGAAGAAAAGCATTGATTTCTCTGATTTATCAACAACAACTCTAAACAATCAAAAAGTAAGTTGTTAGTAAGCTGTTGTTTTCCTTTCAAATTTTATCATTTTATTTTTATCGTGATCATATTTTTAGCCAACAAGTGAAGGTTGGACGGTGTGTAATCGCTGTGAAACTTATCGTCCACCTCGTAGTCATCATTGCCGAATATGTAAAAGATGTGTGAGAAAGTTAGTTAGCAATAGTTATTTTTTTGTTGAGATATAATGAATAATTGACGAATATGTTTTTGTTTCAGGCTTGACCATCATTGTCCATGGTATAGAGAGATAAAAATTATGATGAAAGTTCTGTTTACATATTCTTTATGACTTGTTTAGGATTAACAACTGTGTTGGAGAAGAAAATCAAAAATATTTTATTCTCTTTTTATTTTATATTGGTCAGTATTTAGACCGTGATGCATGTGGTAATCATACTTCTATGATTTCTATTTTCATTGTTTTATGTAGGCATCACTTGTGTATATGCATTAACATTCACATTATGGACTATAATTGCCTTTAATCCGCGAACTGAAGTACAAATGTAAGAGAAACAAGGAGAAACTGCGCTTGTAGTATCAATTTCGATGCACTCATAGATATCGAAAAGTGCTATAGATATCGAGCAAGAAATAAATGGTGTTTTCTTCTTGAAGAGAAATTCGTTCAAAGTTTGTAGTATATTCATTGCCATTTTTATTCTAGCGTTCATTCAATTATTATTATGATTGAATCTGTTTTGTTTGGAATATTCGTTGTCACCGTTCTCATTGATCAGATACAGTCAATTTTAAATGATCGTTCACTAATCGATTCGTTAAAAGAAGATGATGTAAGAATGCAACCATTGCCACCACCACGCGTTTTACTGCGAAAAATATTTGGAGCAGGTAATATATTTTTATTTTTAAATATTGGAATAGGAATGATGAATCATTTTTTATTTTCTAGGTCCAGTAATATTGTGGTTTTTTCCATGTGATTTAAAAAGTACTTCTCGTACAACTGATTCTGTTGATATGTTTCGCGTCTAACGTTTTTGCACATAATTTCTCATTTTCAATTGGATTAAAATCAAAATACTGGTTCTCTTATTCCTTGTACAAATAATTTCCATTCCTATTGTATTTTTTTTGTAAAAGAACAGTCAGTTTTTTACTCAAAAATTTCTTCTGAATTAGTACTTGACTCTATCTTTATATTGATATTTTATTCATTAATGTGTTGATATAAGCTTTATTCTGTCAGAATATAAACGGAAAAATATTCCATTATAGTATTCTAAACTAAAACTATCAAAAAACACAAAGTTAATATGTTCGTATTAAGTTTATAATATTTCATTAAATCCTGTGTTAGAGTCTTCCATCTTCTGTTATAATAATATTCTGAACTACACCGTTTTGTACTCATTGATCAAAATTATACTCAGCAGTGGATCAAACAGTTTTCTTGTTATACCATTCATTATTCGGTTTTGTTGTTTCTGATTCATCTACAAATTGAAACATATTTTCTTGTTCTATTCTTATTTGTTCTTCGTCTTTATGTCCATTTCACATTCTTTTCTTTATAACTGTAAAAGTTGTTATGTTTAATATACATTTGAACTTTTAATGCTTTTCTTGTCTGTTTTATTTATTTTGTTTTATTGATACTAAAATAACAAGAATAAATTCTATCAATATTTCATAGCTATTTTTCACTTTTAAATAGAATAATAAACTTTTCTTGAGATTATCAATAGTAAGAAATGAATGAGAATCAATCCATTTTTCTAGATTGAGATCTTTTTTTAAACTAGACTATTGATTATGAATTAGATAAAAAAATGAGCTAATATGGCACATGCTGCTGCATCCAATTTAAAACGACGTATTTTGGGTTCACGTTTGGAATCAAATTCAAACACAAATATTAATTCTTCAAATGTCTTGAATAATACATCCACTTCTGGTACGTCGAATGGAAATTTAATCAATGGTGTTACACCATTATCATCATCATCTTTTTCTCTAACAACTTCATTATTGAGACATTCACAATTATCTATACCAGTTGAACATCGTCGTTTACGTGTTGATCGTCGATGTATTGATAAAGTATGGAAACAAATGGATCGTATTGTTAAATATTGTCAATGTCCTAAATTAAATTTAAAAAATTCACCACCGTATATGCTCGATATATTACCAGATATATATCAAACATTAAAACAAATATTATTAAATTATGATGGTCGTTTAGATATTCTAAATGATATTGACTATTTTCCAATATTTATGGAAAATTTAATTGATAAATGTTCAAAAACAACTGATTGTTTTAAACGTGCTGGAAATTCGATTTATGATGAACAAAGTAGTTATCGAAAACATTTAACAATATTATCACTCTATTTTTCACATATATTAACAGAATTAAAATCACTCTTTCCAAAGGGAATATGTGAGAGTGAGAAATTTCGAATTACAAAACCAGAAGCAGCCGAATTTTGGAAAAATAATTTTAGTAAAAGGCATGTCTTATAGCATACACGTTTAAACTCAACTTGTTCTCTTGTTTTCTAATCTTGAGTGTGTATATTCACATTTTTGTTATTTTTTTTGTTTTTATTTCAGAACGATTGTTCCTTGGGAAGAATTTAAAGATATTTTAAATCGGACACATCCAGTTCAATGTGGAAATGAATCAATAGCCCTACAAAATACAATTGATTTAACAAACAATAATTATGTTTCTATATTTGAATTTGATGTTTTCACCAGGTAGCATGCCTTATTCAATGTCTAATGTACTATTCGTTTTAATAGTTACTTTTTGTTTAGATTATTTCATCCATGGTCATCATTGTTAACAAATTGGAAATTGCTCGCTGTTACTCATCCAGCATTTATGGCATTCATGACATACGACGAAATGAAAGCAATTTTAATGAATTTTATTGATAAACCCGGAAGTTATTTATTTCGTTTGTCATGTACAAGACTGGGCCAATGGGCTATTGGATATGTGACATCAAATGGCACTATTCTACAAACAATACCTCAAATAAAACCGTTACTTCAGTCATTAATTGATGGCGAAAGAGAAGGATAGTAAGTAAATTTCAAGTATTCAGTTGAAAGTGAACTATAAATATATTCTTCGTTTAGTTATAAATATCCAAATGGGCTTACAGTAACCATTGATCTATCATCAGCATTCAGATCATCTGATTACGATCGTATTTATGTATCAGAAGAACAGTATGCTATCTACTGTGACATGGAAACATCGTTTGAATTGTGTAAAATATGCAATGTAAATAATAAAGATAGTAAAATACAACCGGTAAGCTCTGTGCTTTAAAAACGCTTCTTGAGTAAAACCTATGTCAGTTACTTGTTTTTATAGTGTGGTCATCTTTTATGTAAAGAATGTCTTCAAGCATGGCAGGTAAACATACAGTGATTTTACAATAAACTTAACATAGAAGTCTTTTTGTTTATTACTCTTTAGAATTCAATGTCAAAGATGAATCTAACCTGTCCATTTTGTCGAGCGGAAATTAAAGGTTTTGAACAGGTGATTATTAGTCCATTTGAAAATAATCAGAAGAAAAGTACCGAGAACACAACAAATGATTCGAATGATTTTGATGATGTAAGATTTTATTTTCTCCTGTCAGTTGTCCTGTATTACATTGTTGTTATGTTCTTAGCCAAAATCAGAATCAAATATGCAAATTCAAGATTTGGCTACACTAGGTGGCAGACCCATTCAAAATGAAGTCAGTAGATTTAGTTCCTCGCCCTTTTTGTCAATTAAAATATGTTCTTATTTTTTTCAGTCATCTGATCTATCAGGTAGTCTTTCACTCGCTCCACCACCCGTTCCTCCACGACCTGTTCAAAAACTTGAAAGAAAAGAAAATGAATCGGACCGAAGACAACGTGTACGTCGAAATCATACACAACCGCTTCTTAATTCGACTTATAATCATACAAATAATGAAACTCGACAACACTCTCAAAATCAAAATCTTATCGTTGGAAGACCGTCGCCATTTAAATCGTCAAGCGAAAGTCTAAACGAGTCATCTGGTAAGTAAAAAACTAGAAAAGTGTTTTATCTATCTAATATCGATTTTTTCAAGCTATCTTAGTCGCTTCAATACCAACTATCCAGAATGATACAACACCAAATTCTTCCAGTCAAAATTCTATTCGGCTAAATAATGCTTCCCAGTGAGTATCCAAAGTGTTTGATCACTGATGTTTAGGTTTCATTGTTGCGCACCTTTCTTCATAGCGTATCAGAGTCAACCAATTATTTTCGAACAACTGCTGATGTAAGTCGAAGGCTGGCAGAAAAAGATCATTTTGATCCAGTACGAATTCAAGCAGCATTAACATTAACCGGTGGTCTGGATTTAACTAAACAATACGAAATGGCAAAAGAGTTTTTGAACCAAGTACAACAACAACATACACCAACAATTAATCATAATACATTTGTTAATGAATTATTTGAACAAGAATAAAAATCTATAACCCTTATACAGTACCTGCAGTTCGTTTCTTGTTGCTTTATTTCCACATTTTTATGTTTATTTTTAAAATTGAAGATAACAGTGAATTGTGTACTTTTTATCTTCATGTTATTTTTTATAACTTTTTCGGATCGTTGTTATATACATGACATTTATATAAAATATCGATTAGTTCTTTTTCTGCATCTTACAAACAAACAAGATGGTTCAAAGAAACTTCTCTTATGTCCATAATTTCTAAAGTTTTCTTTTCTTTTTTATGAATTTGTATCCCATTTCATACATAGTCAGTATAGTTCGTTATTTTACGAGCTACTTCTCTGTTGAATGTCATATTTTTGCAATACGCTACAGATAGTTTAGATAGAAAAGATGATGATAATTCTGAGTTGACGATATTTCTATTAGATATTTTTTTGTATTTTATTGTATTCCAATAGTTTTTGAACTTTATTACGTTTAAAGAGATATAGTTTAAAATATTTGTTATTTTTTATTGCCTTCTGTTTACTGAGGTAGCATGAGACAAAGATGGGAGAGTCTGAGTCATAGGAAAATGCGACTCAAGTCCGAGTCATGACTCGGACTCGAGGTGAAAGACTCGATAAACTTGATAAACTGGCTCGAGCCACTTTCGAGTCAGTCATGTGCAACTTGGAGTTGTTATTACAGTGTTTATTATATTTGTTCTATACCAGAAGAGAGAGAGAGAGATTTGAGAATATTCTAAGTAGAACATTGCGTCACATGAGAGGATTGAAGATCTGCTCTTGGAAAAATGAATCAGTTTTCAAGACTCTTGGAAAGTTTTCCTCTAGAAAATGACTCGAAGTGACTCGAGTCAATTTTTGATGCGACTCGGACTCGGACCTCGACTCGAAGGCTACTGACTCAGACTCGACTCAGACTCGAAAAAGTGGTGACTCGCTCATCTCTGACATGAGAGAATATTAGACTTTTACCTTCTGACTTTAATCTTCCGTTTTTTCTAGATCATATAAAATGAAAGAAGACATTCCAAGTTAGTTTCCACAGACATGTCGTTAGCTCTATTATTTAACATGCTCGTCGCCTTTCTTTTCTGTAGGTTCTAGTATGGCATCTGTTTTTCCTGATGTTGGTCCAGAACAGCAGGTAAAAGTAAAGCTCTTTCTTGTTACAGGACAGAGAAAACTATCGCCCATAACGTGGTAATAACGAGCTGAAAAGTTACTCTATAGCGACCAAACACGTAAAAATGTATTACGAGTAGTGCACTTAGACTGCTTCTAAGAATACATTGCTTAATCAATTGTAGAGTGAGTAGAGATTTTATCAGATGTACTAGAAATTTCAATATAGCCAAAAATTATATCTATCAAATCTACTATCATCATCATCAACATAAAAATATGAGAAACATGCGATGACATATAAGATGTCGTATTTCTTTTCTTTTTCTTTGTTGAACTGAACATATCTGAACTGTAGACATTGGTAGGAAGAGAAACATACAATTGTCATTATTGTGATATTCCTTCTCTTTGATAAAAATGTACACAATCTGAACATTATAAACTAAAAAAATGTATAAAAGATTGTCGGGACATTTAATCTTATATATCACATTTGTGTTCATACCATCAAAACATATTTCTTATTATCGGCATTAAAAAGAACACATACTGTGTGTTAGCGGATGGATATTTCAGCTCTTCATATATCAGAAATTGAGCGATTGTTCCAATGAAAAAACTTTTATTCCTCAAAACCCCTCTCATATATATGAGAGATCTGCAATTTCATCATACCATTTGACTCAGACATTCAAATAAAGAATAAATAAGGTTCCAGTGGACTAATATCAAAAGTTCTTTTTGTTTTACTCCGCTAACTGACGCGCACTACCATAGAAAAAAATCACAATTTATCATCAAGCTGTTTCTAAGATATCTGGCACGCAATATTCAAAATCCTAGTTTTTAGTGTTATCTTTTGACAAAAAGTCCTTTTTGTTATTTCTATTTCGGACTTTTGACCGAACTTAATCGCCTAGGCGTGCCGGTTCATGACACTTTTCTTGATGAGTGAATACTGCGTTTACATACATTGTTCAGGTTTTTGCCACGCACCATTAAAACTGTTACTACGTCCGCGGTGTTCTACGAAAAAAGTTTCAAGTGGTTTTAATGAGATCCGGTGAGGAATAGTACAACATGAGAAAGAAAAGAAATTCTTTTGAACGTGATCTCCGTGGGAAAAAACTCAAGTAAAATGCAAAATTCGCATTTTCACACTAAATGTCCGTCAACCGACGTTTGAGCGCCGACACTTGAGCGACCCCGACATTTGAGCCCCCAACATTTGAGCGACCGACGTTTGAGCGGCTCCGACATTAGACACTTTTCAATATGACTTTTTGCCGATCAGGAAAGTCGAATGATTATTCACTTCGATAACGGTTAACAACGATGATGAGAACAATTTTTTTGTCGTCCGATTATGAACTGAATTATTTGAAGATCTGTAGAGGGTGAGGCTGTGTAGGGTAAGGATGGGTGAGGGTGAGCACTTGCTGCTGAACTGTCGTTATTACTCAAATGTCGGGGTCGCTCAACTGTCGGTCGCTCAAGTGTCGGTCGCTCAAATGTCAGGTCGCTCTAATGTCGGGCGCTCAAACGTCGGTTAATCCTAAATGTCACGCGAGATTTTCAATTTTGTGTGGTCTGTAACCTCTTGGTTTTTTTACCATTTGAGAGAAAACTTTGTCACATGAGATTATTTTGCGAATATACAGGCCAAATCATAGTTCTAATATATCAATCGATTCATCGCCGAATTCGCTATCGATTTCACTATGTGCTGTTCGCCAGGATATTCGGGCAGAAAATTGGCTGCTACAATGGAATTACAAATCGCTCATATGTATGCATCTGGTTATTATTTTTGTTGAATTATTCTGGCGCTCCGTTTATGAAAGGCCATGCCTCGTGATACATAGTGCCGATAATAAGAAATATGTTTTGATGGTATGAACACAAATGTGATATATAAGATTAAATGTCCCGACAATCTTTTATACATTTTTTTAGTTTATAATGTTCAGATTGTGTACATTTTTATCAAAGAGAAGGAATATCACAATAATGACAATTGTATGTTTCTCTTCCTACCAATGTCTACAGTTCAGATATGTTCAGTTCAACAAAGAAAAAGAAAAGAAATACGACATCTTATATGTCATCGCATGTTTCTCATATTTTTATGTTGATGATGATGATAGTAGATTTGATAGATATAATTTCTGGCTATATTGAAATTTAATTAAATGGTATTACTATGCTATATGTACTAGAGAAATTAGAGAGTAAATAATTACTAAGAGAACTCTGACAAGGTTAGACTTAATCGATTATTTTCCTTTAAGCTAAAAGATATTGAAAATTTTATGCGAGAACATGGTGTTGGACCAGATCCCGATTTTTTATCTGATGTTCTTGTTAATAAAGTTGAATTAATTATTCGAGAATTACGTGGAATTTTAAAAGATTCAATACCTGAAGGAGGTATTTAGTGCTTAAGAATAATTTCAATTATTAACTGTGAAGGCATGAAGTTTTCATTCTTTCTCTCTCTTTAGAAATGGAAATGTTTCTTAATTCAATTGTGAGTACAACGTTATTAGTAACATTGGATGAAATAAATCGACCGATATTAAGTTTTTGTGATGCTATTGTTGATGCTAATTTACCAGAAAAATATGGACCAATGAAAGTTCGAGTGTATGTTTTATTAATATATTGAATTTCAGTAGAAAATATTTTTTATATATTTTTTCAGTTTAACAAATTTAATTTATGTTGTACCCGAAGGTAGCAACGTTGATAAATATCGAATATTTGTTAATTTGGTAAAATGTGCACGAAACCATCGGTGCATAAACGCTGTAACAATTGGACTACATCAAGTAGATAAAAACTTTGTTTTTTCAATAAAAATTATTTAGAACGAACTCGTGTGTTTTAGGTAAAACAATGGATTAAAGAATGGAAAATATCGACAGAACAAGTTCAAGATCTCTATCGTTTTATGTATGAAGCATATGTGCAGGCAAAAGATACGTAAGTTTATTTTTCGATCTCATATCATAGTTTTTTTTGTTATTTGATACATTGTTTTAGTGATAATGCACTTAAACTATTACTTGAACTATTGGGAACATATACAAAAGAAAATGCATCTAAAGCACGTCCTGATGCCATCAAGTAGGATATATGAATACTTCATCGAATTAATTTATTTTTTTAACATTTTTTTATATTTCTTATGAGACAAAGACAGATGATTATAGTTGAAAAAAAGGCAAAGTAACGAGATACTTGACTCTGCCATTAAGTCTGAAGATAATGTGTTGATTACATTTTCACTCAAGTATATCATTATTTTGTCCTTTTCTCAACTATAATCTATTGCCTTCATTTTCTCAACTAATTTTTAAATATCAACGTGGATTCTATTTAGATGTATTATCAGCAGTATTGGCGATCCAAATGTGTTTATTATGGATCATTTATTATTACTTGAACCGGTTAAATATCTTGAAGGTGAAACAATTCATAATGTAAGTTGAAAATAAGCGAAAATTTTTTATTGATATTTATTTCCTGTTTTTCGTTGTTTGTAGTTATTGACAATATTTGTCTCTGGAAAATTACAAAACTATTTAGATTTTTATTCAAATCAAAGAAATTTCATTGAATCATCCGGTTAGTAAGAAATTGAACAAAAAATAATACTTTTCACATATTAATTACTTATACATTATTCTATCTCATTGTAGGATTAAATCATGAAAATAATGTTGAAAAAATGCGTTTATTAACATTTCTACAAACAGCTGAAAATCAAAAAGAATTAACATTTGATATGATTCAAAACGAAATGCAAATTGAACAAGACGAAGTTGAATCATTTGTTATTGAAGGTAATTGTTAGATCACTTTGTATTTCAATCTTTGGCATCTTTAGTATAAAAGAATAAAGAACTCGGATAGAAACTTGGATAATTTTTAACAAAAATAAATAATTGATCTCTATAAAGACTGTCGATGAAATAAAACAACAATTAAGCTCACAAAACGTGTAATTTTTGTTTTCTTTTAGCTGTACGTACAAAAATGATTCGTTGTAAAATCGATCATCTTAGTCGTAAAGTATTAGTTGACTGTACAGCTCAACGAACATTTACACGTCAACATTGGCAAGTGTTAAAAGAAAGATTAGAACTATGGCGGGTGAATTTAACCACGATTAATAAAAATCTAGGAAACTTAATGGCAACAAAAGCAATGTCAACTTAAAAAATTTTCTTTTTTTCTTTTTATAAAGAAAAATATTCATTAAGACGTGTAAACGATTTTTTATCAGTCAAGATCACCTAAAAAATTTAAATTACAACACTTTCGACCCTTTACTAACGGCATTCAGACGCATACCGATAAACTGTAAACAGTCTTTGTACAATTGTTTTTTCTTTGTGTTATGTATACATAAGCATATTTGTATGCGTTCTTTAAGAAAATGTATTTATTGTGAAAAAATCAAAGAACTGTCTTTAAATAGCGGAGAATGAAACAAAGTTGTGTATAATTGTTGATATGCCTAACAATGTCCTTGGCATAAGGTCGATAGCGTTGCAATTTTAATTTTTTTATGTTATTTTAATCAAGTTTTAAATTTTAAACTAGAAAAATGTTTACAATAGTCTTATTCTTTTTATTTTGTTATCTTTTCTTTTTGGTTTACCGAATATCTAATGAAAAATGAGCAGATTGTATTTTAGCTACCAGATTGAGACTAAAAATCTTGAAAAGATGGATTTATTTTTCTGTACTCAAGCATCCTCTGCTGTTGTTATAGCTGTCTATGGAATTGTTTTTGTGGGGATGTTGTCATTCTTCTACTGTTAACAGATATTTTAATAAATTAAAGAAAAAAGCAGAACTATTTTCCGATAATTCTATGCAGAGTCCAATATTTTAATAGATAATCTCAGTAGTGGTTGATATATGAAAGATATTACGTATTTATGAAATAGGATGAAAACTTATAATCCATTTCAAAAACGATATTTTGTTAATAACTTTCGTTATAAATAAACGACGATCTGCGATTTTTGCTCGTATAGGCAAGATCCAACCACCTCAGTGTATAGAAGAACCAAGTATAAGTGTGCTTCCATACCTAGTATTATATGAACTGGAAGACGGCAAGATTTGAATACCTGCATAAAAAACTGACCACCTTTTTTTAAACTTTCAGGCCAGATATTTTCAACTAAAATCATCAGGTGTTTAGCTCGATCACCTAGTTTTTCAGGAAGAGAATTTTTTCAGAAAAACACAAAACTTCATATACTTAACAAGGACGTCAAGAGCGTGCCAGAAATCAAAGAAAAAGATTGAACGGTGCATGGTACTAAAACAAAAATATAATTACTAGAGAAGAAAAAAAAATATGGAACGCTTCACGATTTTGCGTGTCATCCTTGCGCAGGGGCCATGCTAATCTTCTCTGTATCGTTCCAATTTTATTATATGTACCACCGAAGTGAGTACGATTTTAATTTACCTCGCTCGGTCTTATATAGCGATAAAAGCGAAGAGAAAAGAAAAACGGTGAATCGGTTTGAACAACCGATTACTGGTGACACCTGGCACGTTAACGCTCTTTCGAACATTCAAATTTTTTAAATCACTAATGGTTAGTGGTAATACGGCATCAATGTATGCTTGATTCTCACTTCCCTGCTTCGGAGTCAGCCCCGCCGATCCCGAACAAATAAATCCATTATCAATGAAAAAACAACAATCTTGACGAGAAAGGAGGTCACCTACTCTTCCTTTTAAGAATCTTAAAGTGTACAGGTATTTAACAAGAAAATCAAGATCTTATTATTTTATAGTTCGTTACTTCATTACGTTCTACTCTTAATCGTGTGAAAGAGGGTAAAGGGGCCTGGTGTCACCAATAATCGGTTGTTCAAACCGATTCAGCGTTTTTCTGAATTTTTCGTAGCTTTTGCAGTTAAAATTCGCATATTTAGCACTAACATTTCCATTGGAGTTGTCAAACAAACGGATTGACTGGCTTTTTTAACCATGATTGTACTGAATACGACTAGAATGCTCCTCAACAACCTTATTCCTAGAATATATGAATGATGGTAGATAGTTTGGAATACACATGATTATGAAAGAATGATGATATTTTGTCTTACAGTGATGTTGAAAATGTATATGAATAACAAAGATTTCTCCTTTTTTTACAGACTGGTGAATAAGGTATTTCTGAAAGGAATGAATTAGAAGAAGAAGAAATAATTCGTAGGCCAAAATAGGAATGCAAGATAATTTAAGCAAAAACATGCAGTAATGATTCATCACTGTTATAGCCCTATTCTCAGTGTACATTATGCAATTAAATTAGATAACTACTTAGATCTTACTTGGTGCAACTGTT